AAGACCGACCAATGGCGCCCATGGTCCCCATAGTACGGTGTTCATATACAATGGTCCTCTCACTCCTGTCACGCCCACTTGGCTCCACTGTTGTTGCACTCCCTCCTGTAAAAATTATACTTCTGATAAACCAATATGAATTCCTAGCATAAAATATTAAACAATGGCCACATCTGCCACATGTTTCATGTTCCAAATCTCTCCAAATGAAGATTTTTAGGAAACCTCTGTGTCTAAAATTGCACAATACATGATCTGAGCATGATTTTGGTCAATATATGACATATGTTCTGCAAATAGTTTTACCTCCCTGCTGATGAATACTTTCTTGAAGTACCTGTGTTACAAATTCAGTAATTTACTTATTCTTCACTGAACAATTTTATTTCTCCATCATCTTAAGATTTGAAAAACTTGTTTCCTGTTAAAAAATTGCTGATGCATGCTCTAACCAACATTGTGATATCTAAGCATATTTTCTGTGAATACTTGGTATAGCTTGTTATGACTGATTTTATATTCTAGCTACATACAAGAGACCACATTATACATTAAATCTTGTATAGCAACCAAACTGTTGGCATGGGAGACCAACATCAGTACTTTATTATACTAAAATATTATACAATGATATTTCCAATAATGCTACAAATAACTCTGTTTTATGTAAGATTTGAGGTTTTCACAGAGGTGAGTATGAAAATTTCTGTCTTCTGGGTTGTTGCGCTGTGTAGTATGGTAGATGAATATGAATATTCATCGCCCTGTTGATGGAGGCAGTATGACCTCTGAAACGTTGGTTAACATTGACCAGACTACACAGTACAACAACCCAGAAGACAGAAATCTTCAACTCTGATTTAGTATCCACATCAAGACAAATGTAATGACAGAAAAATAGTTATAAGTCAAAGAATTGGTTCAATTTAAAAAAGGGATGCATTTTCTCTTTGTCCCCAAATCAAAACCAGAACAGATTTAGATCCTACCCAGCCTTCACTCCAGTATGTAACAGGAAATCTTTCCTCAGAAGTAAAGTGGCCAAAGGGTGGAGCTAATCACACTCCTTCATTTAATGCCAATGAGCTTTACTTTCAGATTTCCTATATACTTTCCTGACGTGGTGCTTGGAAACAGGGGCAAATTTGTTGATTGTTGTCTTTTGGTTTGACTCCATGTGATCATTTAGGTGGTTAACTTTGTTTTTCAGGAGCATATTGCCTCGATGTAAGATTTGACGTTTTCACAGTGGTGAGTCTGAAGATTGCTTCAATCTTCAGGCTAAATTTTAGGTAATACATTCACTTACAAGACCACATCGAGTCACAAACCAAATAAAGAACAACAATGAACAGTGAAGACTGCTCACCTTGAGCTATGTGTCTGAGATCTGTATTGTCTCTCTTAGCTGTCGGCCTGCTGCTCCCCCTCTGGTACCGCTCATTATCTCTGGACCTTGAAGTGTGGAGCCTGCCTCCACTTGGGCTACCTGAGTCACCACCACTGCTCTTCCTTACCAAAGGAACCATTTTGTTAGTAGACCCAGGAAATCTGTAAGATATAACAACACACAGTGGAAAGATACATTTTTATAGTGTCAATCAGCATCCTATAAGATCAAATAAAGTGTTCATAATTTTTCTAAACACAGCTCATCATACAGATGTATAAATTTGACACAGAAAAATGGAAGGATGTATTCCAATTTGGAGAACTTTCAGTGCAGATCTCCAAATACCAAACTCCAGTAACATCTGCTCTGTAGTTTTGAAGGTAGAATGTAGTGTGTCAGAATGTGGACATAATTGCAAACACATGCAAAGAACTCGTGATATATATTTCATATAAAATTGAAACTTTAATTTAATTTTTTCATTTAATGAATATTTAACCCAGTGTGTGTAATAATGAGCCTGACTCATGGACAAAGTGACAGGCTAAGTAACTCCTCATGAGTCTAATTCATTTACCTTTTCAAGGTAGACTTACCCTTTTTGGCCATTTAAACAATTTTTTAAAGCCATGCAATATTCCACTTACAGATGGGCACTAAGAGTTAATGATATAAAATAAATATTATTTGTTTCACATTATACTTCTGTAATCAAGAATTTTTGCTTACCTTTCTTTGGGTTTGTTTATGTCCGCATCTCTCTTTCTTGACCGTGCTTTCGCTGACAGTGGTGGCTGAGAATCTGATGATACTATGCTTTTATTTAAGTTAGTTTTAGCTGGATCAGTCTTATTATTGCTGCTGTTATGGGTTCTAGTACGTCGTGGAACCATTGGCTTCCTGTTGCTACCCATCTCCACACCTGACGCAACATCTTCTGAGGAACTTGCGTAAGTCTGCAAGAGAAGTTCACGACTACTTGCACGCTGCAAGAGTCTTGCTGTCCGGCTACTAGACTTAATGGCTGTGCTAGATGTTGAACTACTTGCTACTTTGCTTCTATTACATTCACCAACACTGGATAAGCGTTCTTGTTTCAATAATGGTCTTGTCTGCACTCGAGAATTCTCTCTTGTGAAACTCTCCACTGAAGAAGTTGAAGATGTGGGACAAGGGCGTGTCTTTGTTAGACGCTGGCTTTTCCTAGCATTGATATTGCTTTTATGGGAATGTAATTCTGAAGTGCTGTTCCCTGTCTCTTGTTGCTTCTTAGAAGATGGGGCTTCTTTAATTGTTCCAAGACTGGCCGAAGGTCTTCGCACTTGACCACATCTATTTCCTCTTCTTCTCCTGCCATCTTTCATAATTTCATCATCAGGCTCATCACTGCTCGCTCTATATGATTCCTCATCTGTGTAGCCATTTACAGCTTGCAGGATCTGGTCTGCTGCCCTTGTCAACTCTTCCAGAATAGCAGATTCCGTTTCCACTGTATCAGTTATCAGATTCTGACTATTTGATTTTTTTGTTGGTTCTGCAGCCACCATTTTCAAGTTCTCATACACAGGTGTTGTAACCGTTTTCCTGCTCAATGCATCTGTTTGTGAACATACTATTTCACATGGGCTTGAAGACCTATCATGTTTCATGGATATGGAACTGGTTGACTTTACTCTGTTGGCTCTCTTCTCTCTTTCGTCACACTGAGTACCAACCTCTGTCTCCTTCTCACTTTCACAAATATACGTTCCTTCCAAATGCTTCAGCTTTTGTTTTTCTGTATAAAAGTTACATTCCTTCTTTGTTTCTTTCTCTCTGGCACTGAGTCTTTGCTTCTTCATATCTTCGCCACTAGTTCTCATGCTTCTGATAAGATCTGATGAGTTATTGGACCCTGATGGAACAGAAGCATGCAATTTCTTATTTTTCTGATCCTTTCGTAATGATTTGTTTCTTACAGGTGAAAGAGACATTCTATTGCTTGATATTCTGTCTGAAGAGACTGTAGGTTCTAACTCTTGCTTACTACTACATTTTGTGGATAATTCATGTTCATTATGATTGTGATAGAACATAAACTTGTCTTCAGTCTCTGGGTGGGGTACTCTCCTTTGTAACAAAGATAATGTCTGATCTGTACTGAAAGAGTCAGTGTTCTTTCCTGTTGGACTCCTTGGGTTTAAATTATTATAATTTCTTTCAATGGTTGTAAATTGTGAAGTATGTCTCTCTGGTTGAAAAGGAGATTCAACAAAGCTTGAAGATAATTCTTTTTGCTTTTGTGTAAATACTGATTTACTTGAATCTGAATTCACATCTTTCTGAGAAATCAGTGGTTTGTTGAAGGATTTGCCAGATGTTGCAGTAAAAGGAGTATTTACTCCAAAATCTGCAGAATGCTTAGACTCAGTTACATGTAAGTTTCCTCTATTAGTAGATGGCAAGCTTCGGAAGCTTGCTTCATACAAATCACAGTCTGGATTCCTAACATTGACTTTTGACAATGGTTCAGCGTTCTTTTCACCTTCATACCGCAGTGATATAGATGTGATTTTGGGATGACCTGAACGAGTGCTAACCAGCGTCTCTACAGCACAAAGACGACTTGAGTCACTGTAAGACTGCAACTTAGCTTCAGTGACAGACTTCTGGAAGGAAGGCTCTTTGCTGTTGTCAAGCTTAAATATAGGTGAAATGTCAGCATGATCTGAGAAACACAACAAAGGACTAAATCAATATAACAGACAATAAAGAATGATATCTATCTTTCTTTCTTTAACCCTTTGTCAAGCCCAGTAAAGCAATGCATGGTAAAAGTAAATGTCTCCTGTTCCACTAAAGATATTAAAATGTAATGTACAAAGAGCATTTTAATTAACTGATCTGATAACAGCACTGAGGTAAACAGTTTTGTTTTAACTTAAACTGAATAAATGCTAAAGATGCATAGTATAATATTAAGAAAACTAAAACAGAAAACAATTAGGAAATAACTTCATGGTGAAGGGTTTTCCTTGAAAATTTTGTATTTATTTTTCTGGTCAAGAAATTCCCTGCTTTTATGGTACTCACAAAAGCCCACAACTGACAATAATATCTTGAGTCTGTTCAATCCAGTCCACACTTCCAAAACCTATTTTGCTAAATTCTGTTTTAATCTTATACTTCTATCTACACCTACGTCTTTCAAGTGATCCCTTCCCTTGAGATTGTCTAACTAAAATTTTCTTTGCATCTAAATATCCCACTGTTATGACAAGCATGTAGTAATATGTAGTATGGTATTCAAAGTATAAAGCACATTTAAATTAATTTGTCTGTCCCACCAAGAGACTACAAATTTAACCTTCTGCTGCATGATTTAAATTAAATTATTCCCAACATTCTCGGAAGAGTTAATTTATGATTTAAATACCTTTATATTAATATAATGCATTTTAATATGTTAAGTACAGTAAATATTTAATATTGCTTCTTTAAATATGGCAAAAGGTGAAATGGTATAGCCAACTCACCAGGTCAGAAATACTTAAAGAGAACAGAAGTCAAACATATGCACTCTGACAGAAGTGGAAGTAGAATACAATGTTTCCTTTTGTAAGGTAAACATTATCAGCTTATTGCTGATGTTACTACACACAAAGGAAATACTATGCACAGGGCGAGCTGGGCTAAAAATTACATTTAACTCCTTTATATAAAGCTACTAAACACACTGCAATATTAAAGCATTAAATAATTTGTTTCAGTCTTTCAGTACCTTTGGAAATTATTTTTATGAGGAAAGAGGAAACTGTTTTTCACAGTCAAGTGCAATCATGTTAACCATTCAGTGATATGTATGGAGATGTTCACAATGAATTGTGGAAGAAAAGTTTCGTTGCATTGTAAAATACAGTGCATATTATTAATAGAACAGTTCCACCACAATGCAAAGCCCTATGTTTATTTGTTCATTATGAATGAAACAGTTCCACTGCAATGCAAAATGCACTTTGCATTATGAGTGGAACAGATCCATTGCATTATTAAACTCACTGTAGATTATGGGTGGAATGATTCCAACACAATGTAAAGTTTGCTGTATATTTATGCACAGAGCTGTACCATCAAATGCTAGAAATGTCTGAGATACAAATTGACTTTTATAAGTATAAAAATAATTAACTGAATGTATATGTATAGGGATTAATTACTTTACTCATTTACAAATGATGTTATCTGAATAAGTAGTGAATAATACACTGTCAATTTAATTTCCTTCACTGACAGTGGAAAGATTAAAACAGTGATAAATCATATTTTCCTCTTCCAATGCAGATTAATTAAAGTGCTTAAAACTATTTGTTACATCCTCCTAGACTTGCACAATATTATTTTGCTTGGTCATAGATTCACTAAGTCCATGATATGTCCTTTAATTGAATAAAGTACATGCTTATTTATTTAATTACTTATCTGTTTATACCACAGTAGATTGCTAAAAGAAGTTTCACTCGAGACTAGAATCTTTATCCATTAAATGTTTTTCTTATGTTACTGCACTCTGTAATATATAACATTTAAATGACACCCATAATTATTTAGAATCAGTTAAAATCAAGATTAATTTATTTTTTGTGGTTTACCATTTAAATTTCCAAGAAAGACATAATATTGCAACAAAAATACTACTTTTACTATGAAGGAAAAAAACCAACACAGTGAAATCCCTTTAAAGATGTTCTCCTGAGATTGCAAAAATGGCTAATTCAAGACAAAGGAGGAAGTGAAGATTGATGTTAGAGGAAAGAGATTGTGAGGACAAAGGATGCATGGAACTGGTTCAGAATAATCTTCAATGGTTGCCCTTGATATCTTCTGGCCATACTACTAAAGAATCAAAAGTGTGAAAACTGTACACTACTGGAAGATGATGGACATAAGAGATAAAAAAACACAGTGATTATAAGCAATTCATAAAGTGATAAAAAAAGGAATATGAAGGAAGGTAACTGGAATGTTGTATAAAAACAGGGAACCTTCTAAAAATGTTAAAACTCCAAAAATGAGAAGAAAGGTGTAAAAGTACAATTTGAGAAATAAATGCACTGTTTACTTTGTATATAAAATAATAACTCTCTGTTGAAGACTATAATAAGAATAAACACTTTTATGAGTTTTCACTGCGCATGTGAAATATTTAGGCACAGGGCCAATTTTAACCTCTTCAATGCTGACCTGAAGAGTATATTACATAAGTTCATGTTCTGGTCACTGAGATCATAACATGTGACTGAAGGAGAAAAGACATTAATCTTCCGAACAGATTTCATGTTTTGCCAATTCTTGCATGACACAGCCAGAGTCAGCATACCTCAACAGTAGTCTGAAACGTCCAACAACTGCAGTAACTGATTCTCTAAAGGTTTTGGTTGATTCAACACAGAAATATTGGATATTGTCCATTGGCTAAGGTATATCCGATTTAGACAGTGTTTTGCGAGTTAACTCAGCTCTCATTTTTGGGTAATTATTTATAATTATATTGACAGAACTTTGTTTATATTTTTATCATTAGCAGCAATGAGAGGGTATAACCTGGCACCTAATGTCTAGTGGTTATAAAACAACTTCAGAATTCTGAAGGTAATGGATTTCATCCCAACTACATAAAAAAATATGTCAGAAAATAATAACACTTCAAGACAGGAATACAGCCAACTTCTGAAATATCATGGAAACTGAAAATAATTCAGACAGTGAATATGTCCAACATAATTCTAGTGTACTGTTGTAACTAGCTGTAAATACTTCTAACACATAATCAGAGACAACAGAATATTTAACTATCCACACATAACCTGTTATAGCAGCAAAGATAGCATTTTATACTAACTGCAATAGAAATAAATTTTCCATTTATACATTCTCTATATTTAAACGCAACAGTAAGCACTGTCTGACATGACATGACATGAACAATAATGTTTCTGAAATGACATTACAATTATATATTTTTTGCTCACAATCAGCATTAAACACTCCAGTTCCTCAGCCAGCAGTGAAGAAATTAAAATAACATTCAAGAGGGCTGTACTTCATCAAATACCTTTGTGGCTGGTGTTAAACTTGTGGAAATGGTGTTGGATGTTGCGAAAGGCCCTCACCCTGCTCCAGCTGCCAGAAACCACGCTGCTTGAATCTTCATCTTGGTCCCTATCCTCTTCATCTCCACCACCACTCATGTAAGACCTAACTTCCTCATCTGCACGCTCACTGTCATCGCTCAACTCTGCGCTATAATACAGTTCTTTCAGAGCAGCTAGTTGGTTGGGTACCACCAATGTCTCTTCATTTCTCTCTTCTTTAGCTTGAGTGTTTATGAAAGTTCGCTTTACAAGTAATTTACCGTTTGTATTGGTCTCTGCAGTCTTCACAGACAAATCACTTATGTATCTATTTGTCAAATTCTGTGACTGAATATTTGTCTTCTTGGTCCTTGGAGCAGGAACAGGCACATCACTTTGTTTACAGATACCATTCCTGATTATTCTTTCATTTCCTTGCATATAGTGATTAGAACATTCTTCATTATTTCCTTCTGTTTCTTGAACTTGAGATGAATTATTGATTGTTTTCATAATAAGGGAAGGTGACCGCAAAGTTTCTGTTGATTTACCAGATTTTTCATTTCCTGATTTCTTCAGCATCTCCTTCTGAAGTAACTCTGTTTTGGCAACATAGTTATCTGAAGAAATTGGAGAAAGATCTATCAAAATTGTTGTGGTTTTCTTCACATTGCTGTTGTTGATGTCTTGTGTTCTGGAACAGTGCTTGGTTTTCATGCTGGAATCTAAGGATCCACGTTCACCTTCATTGCCTCCCTCACTTTTACAGATATGGACAACAAGCCCTTTATCTGAGGTTGTCTGACTCCTGACATCTGTAAGGGAGTATGGTGATAAAAGAAAGATCTCATCTTATAATAAAACAATTTACAATCTGAAAAATTGCGCACAATACAATCAGCCCTCCATTTACATTAAGCTATATTCCAGTGTAACAGTATGTTAAAATTGGTACAAAGATAATAAATGTTTGAGGGAAATGTTTCATTAAGTTCTGTTAAGGTCTACAACAGTGGTTGATTTGTTATAGTAATATTATGTTGGACATTCTTTAATTACTTAATTTCAGAATATTACTGGACAACACTTGGGGCTGCAGTTCACATAGTCCCATCTCTGGTGCACAGGAAACTTGTGAGCGTGAACATGATGGAAACATAACAATGTAAAAGTAAACAGGTACTGTGTACAAAAAGAAAACGTGTCTTAATTACATGAGTGTGTATAAAGATAAAGGGCTGATTGTATCAAACTATCAACAGAAAAGTTTCCATGCTTTACTTATGTAGAGCAATGCAAGGAAGTAAGTTTAAAGAAGCTGTATAAAGTTACTCAAGCATACTGTTGCATCATGCTAATAGGCTCCATGCTTTGTGGAAGAATAGGCATTCCACTTTCATTTTACAAATGTTACACATCACATGGCAGTCTCCCCAGTTTCATATTGTGATGAAGTAGTAAAATTTACCAGTGGGTAAGAGGAAATTTTTTCCTTCTTCAGAGCTCAGGAGATCAAATGTAATGTTAGAGGCTTTACATAAAAATTAAACAGATTGGTATGAATGGTGATTGGTCAGAACAGTGTAAACGTATTTTGTATGCAGTGATCATAAATTGTCACCCAGCCAAGCACTGGCCATAACCAATGTTAACTTCAACTCTAAAATAACAAGGCAGCAAATTCCTCTGAAAGACTGGGAATTTTTACCACTTCAGTAGGAGACAATGCCCAGAACACTGTACTATGTATATAGACCATCTTCAAAACATTACATTTCATATATTCAATACAGATTAAAAGTAATTAAATTAAAGAAAGTACTAAAGAAAATGATTAAATTTATTCTATAATCTATATTATATAACTGAATTATCATATCCTTATTAAGCAGCCATATTTTATTCAGCACTTTGTTTACTACAAAAGGGTGCCAGAACGCAGAGGTAACAAATGACAAAACAGACTTTTTAAAATCTTCCACAAGAAATTAACTAATGGATTTAAATTAAGAAAAAAAGTTTATCCTTATTTCAGTTTTCCTACTCCTTGATTTTTCAGCAAATATTTTTCATTCTTGTTGGCACATCATGCCATTGTATATGATAAGAAGAGATGTCCTGATTTAACTATGAGATAACTATATTCTCTTATGTGTATTATATAACCATGTTATATCTTTATTTCATATTCTGCACATGTCTTTTAATGTAAAAACAAGTTATTTGAACAAAAGTGGGAAGTAAATTCCAAAATTATTTACAAATTACAAGATGTCTGTAATAATCAATGATGTATTTTCATGGCTGTATATTTCAGCACTATGTTTGTAATTTAGTTCATACCTACTTGCTTTAAAACCGTTTTAAAATGTTTTAATATTTGCCTAATAGTCACTTTTATATAATTTACAAGCATTGTATTACAAGCAGCAAAGGTCATTTTGCAGCATGTAATACTATGATATACAATGTAATCAGTATTAGTATTTCCATTATAACTACCTCAAATGTACAATGCAAAACAAGAATTCAAGAAAAATTCTGATGTTAATCTTATGCCAAGACAGTGCCTGTAAAATATGACACAATCCCCATTCTTTGTTAACTCACCATATGTAATCATATTCCAACCCTATTTGACATTAAAGAATGTTATATTAATATGGTGTAAGTAACCCTTTAGCATATTGCTTGATTCAATCTACTCAAAATACCTATATAAAATTAACTAAAAACATTAAAAATAAATGACTAAAATATATCATCAAACTTTTATAGCAATATGCTATATCTACTGTCTGACAAGCAAACAGTTTCAACTTTCATCTAGACACTTCTCACAGTCATAAATAAAATAGCTAATACCATCTGAAATGACACATGTCCCACACATGTCAAAGTATGCTACTGCATTAAATAACCTAAAGGTAAATATAATAACCATGCAGATTTTTACAGATTTCTGCTGCTCTACCTCTGAATGCTATTGGTACAGCAAGAAACAAAGATAGTTGTCATGAAGAGAAATAAGATAGTATGACAGATTAATTATTTAGAACAGTTCAAGAAGCACAGCCCTCTGTAGTCTCGAGTGAACTCCTGTCACAAGACACAAGCTTACAGGATTATAAGCTTTGCATTCTTTCAGTTAAACATTACATTTCATTAATATGCATATACTATACAACCCAGCATAGATTTGATGATACATTACTAAAGTTAGGTTATGTTATTAGTTTTGCAGGCAATCTAAATGTATGCGTCTTTTTTCTCTTTTAATTAAAAGTTTGAGGATTATTTATTTTGACTAGGCTCTGTTCATGTTGTCTGAAATTTAAAATGTCAGTCTCAGACTAAAACCATATTATAATGCATTTTTTGTTGAATGTTGGACTTGGTTAAGCAGTGGGCTTCATTTAGCATATATTTATTTGAACATTTAATGATCACTAGCTATAATTTAAAATAACTAATTACTAGATCACTTGCAATTTATATTTTTAAATTATCAGATTCAGTCAAACACTATACCACAAAGTGATTTCCTGAATGTAAATCTCAGTCTGGCAGTAGACCTGAAGGGATTAATCAGTGGTAGTGTATAATTTAGTAATCACTTTCACAGATATCACAAAATTAACACCTCCTACTGGTGAATTTCTGCACTGAAATATTTCAATGCTGAGTTTATTCAGATAGCAAATTATTTATCTTGTTTATGTAGTTAAATGGCAATCAAAATTCTCATTTCAGAAGAACCACAAACAACCTGAAACTCCAAATAAATTAAGAGAAGAAGCCAGCAATTAATATTTGAGCAAATCACCTTGTTCATGAAAAGGAAAATGTTAACCTTCATCATACAAAAATTGAGGATTTAACAGCCCATACTATGAGGCTGC